TGGTGATAGAATGGTTCTCTGTGTTGGTTATAATTACTACACAACTTTGTAGGTGGGATAAAATTGAACAAAATCGGTGTAGACTCATACATATGAAGGAAGGCAGGTTAAAAAATGCCATGAAAACTTAGTAAGATCTGTGGGCTGGATCACTGCAGTGTAAACAATATCGGTTTCCATGTCTTGATACTGTACTTCAGCTACATATGATGTCACCATTTAGAGACTGCGAGTGGAGGTACCATGACAGCATGACTTCTTCAACTTTAAATGAGTCTATATCAATTTCAGAATAAAGGGAGTTTTAAAGGGTATAGCACTTTATATAACTGATGTTTAAAACAACTTTCTATTCAGTTTGAAGTGAGGATTTTTCAAAGTTTTCATTTAGGCATGCAGTAGGCGAGCTCAAAAACTGTGACATGTGATGAAAATTTGACTCTGATCCCACATGTTCTATTTCTTCTTCAAATGCCCTGTGTTTGACCAAGAAGGATGTCATTTCTGAAAGTGTCTGGAGCCATGTTATTAAGGCTGTTCAATTGTCTCTGTTGGTTGCTACCTGAGTTGGAGACATGTCAGACTGAGAAAACTGTACTGGTCTCAACACAGCTTTTTTGCAATGCTTTGAAATTAATGCAATCAAGTGGTATTTGACAGCAAAATTTAAAAGCAATGATCAAACTCCTAGATGCATAAAACCATCTTGTTCTATTTTGTTTTTCATCTTTGAATGTCAGTGTGACCAAGAAATTGGGAAATGTGGTGGAAAGGTTGATTCAAAAAGAACTTGAGAATCATGCTTGTAATACTTTCTACTAGATGTTCCACAGAGCAGTTATAACGATAGACAGTCAAGGTGTCTAAGAGGTCTCAATTTTGCATCTCTAATGTTGACAAGGGTTGATTGTGGGACATTGAGTATGAAGAAATAAAACATTATATATGACTGCTGTTGAAAAAATGAGCAGCCCAACAGTTCGAGAATGAGATGGTTTAGTTTTAATAAAACCTTTGAAATAAAATGCAAGAACTTCTGGAGGATATCTAGACATTACAGTGTCTAAATAAATGCCTATATTTTCTGAAAATGTCTTAGGGTGTTATCTTTATACAGCATAACATTTTAAAAATGTTACAGAAACCAAAGCCAAGCATTAAAAAATAGCTGAAGGATAGGATGAACTGGAATATCTATAGTAATTGAAAGTGTCCATTTATGTGCAAATACTTTAGTATTCTAGCATTACGCTGACATTATGCAATATCAGTATCTGAATGTCCTTGTCAAATAGATGTCACCCATGGTCCCAGGTCCATCTAATAAGACCACAATTCTCACAAAGTCCAACAACACCATTTAGGTTTAGTGAGGTTGTTTGTTTTCTTTTGATCTAAAACACGACTGTAGCAACGTACATATAGTTACTTGACTAAGCCATCAAAGTTATGTAACCCAGCCAAACAGATAGGACAATAATTTAAACATGTAGTCATGGAAAAAAGCTTTCTGTATTTTTATTGATGATGTATACTGTTTTGAATATTCTTTCCTCTTAAAATCAAATTAGAATTTTTAATGAGTCTTTTAAAAGTCCTTATTGTTTTAGAATTGATTAACTTGAGAGAACTACATTTCTTATTCAGGGAAAATAGCACTTCTTTGTCAGTTGATTAGTAACTCGTCTGAATGACTGCAAGGATTTCTGTTTACAGTCTGCACTGGTCCATTCTCAGGTCCACAGGTGCCTTAGAGGTTCCATTGCTTCAAAACAGGCCTGGATCTCAGAACTCCCAGACAAGTTGACACTGACCCTTTCCAAAAAAAATTAATACAGAGGAACTCTGTCAGCCAACTTCCTTGAGAATAAAAGGTCAAGTAACCAGTTGGAAACTTTTCTAAAGGTGTCACATTAAACTTTAATAATACCTACATTTTTATGGGGCTTTTAACTTTCCAAATTGCTTCCACATGCATTATCTCATTTCGTGTCCTATTGCCATGAAACTATGTCGGTTTTAGGGCTGAATTACAATGGCATTGATATCAAAATGTTGACAGGGACATTTCAAAAATTGACTTTTACTTAGCTAAGCAGAAGTATTCAACAGGAAGAGACTGACTTCAAGATGAATTAAAAAGTGTTAAAATTGTGAGGTTAAGATCCTAATAATTTCAACTGTTTGAGGTTTATCAGAGCTATTTTGCCTTTTTTCCCCAATTTTTTTATTTAAAGAAATGAAGACAAGAAAATTTAAAAAAACAAAATAAGAAAAAGTAGAATAATACTGAATTTAAAAAAAATAATATATATTAATTATAAATCACTAGTTGATACTTTGCAAATTGTCCTCTTTACAATAATTGTTAAAGTTATAAAATCAAAGCATAAAAAGTGTCTAGACACTTAAGCATTGACAGTGCAATCTCTTCTGTTCAGTGATCTAATAGAAATTTAGTAATAATATGGTCATTTATCTTAGATATTATATATACTGTTATATCCTTTAAAGCACTTTCCTTCCCTTTCACTTTTACAATATCTGTTATACTTTTTGGATCTGATTGTTCTGTCAGTTCTTATTTTTTACACTAGGTAGATAATGTGATATTTACTAATGTGAGTCTTATTTCACTAATGAGAATATTCTCAAGTTGCCTCCATTTACCTATAAAGGCCTCAAGATCGTCCTTTTTATAGCTGAGTAGTATTCCACTGTATAAAAATACCACATTATTTTCATCCACTCTGTGGTTGATAAGCATTTTGGTTATTTCCAAGATTTAACTATCGCAAACAGTGCTACGATGAACATGAGTGCACATATATCACTGTGACATGACCTTTGCAATTTTTCTGGGAAAATACCCAGGAGGGGAATAACTGAATTGAATGGAACTTCCAACCCTCGGTTTTGAGGACTCTCCACACTGATTTCAACAGTGGTCACACCAGTTTGCACTCCCACCAAGAGTGGAGCAGTGTTCCTTTTTCCCCACAGCCTCGCCAACATTTATTATAATTTGATTTCTTGATGGCAGCCATTCTTTCTGGAGTGAGATGAAATCTCAAAGTTGTTCTAATTTGCATTTCTCAAATGACCAGTGATAGGGAATATTTCTTCATATATTTATTTGCCGTTTGTATATCTTCATCTGAGAACTGTGTGTTCATCTCTGATGCCCATTTTTGGAGAGGGTCTTTGAATTTGGGGGTTTCATGTTTTTCAGTTCTTTATATGTTCTGGATATAAGTCCTTTGTCTGGGGGATTGTTGGCTAAAATTCTTTCCCATTCTGTGGGTTTTCTTTTCACTTTGTTGGTGTTTCTTTTGAAGTGCAAAACATTTTAGTAATATGAGATCCCAGTGGTTGATTCTTTGAAGTATTTCCTGTGTGGTTTGCATTCATTTCATGAATTCTCTCCCTACCCCTATGTCTCCAAGATTTTTACCTACCTTGTTATTGCAGGAAGCTGAGTTAGTTAAAAAATATTATAGGCAGTGAGACAGGGGTAGGTCCTGGATGAAGCCAGTGCAAATACCTGGCAACTGAGAGACTGATACCTCCTGCTGTGGGCCAGGCCTCAACAAAAGACCAAACAAATGCACCCATATCCTAGGATTGATACCCTACATAGTTCCCACCCCCCTAGGAAGGAGTCATTGCTCTGTAAAAATGCCTGCTTTCTTTTTTTTTTTTTTTTTAATTTTATTTAAGGAGAAAAGAAAAAAAATGCAGGGAAAGGGTACAAGTTATACAGATTTACAGAAAAAAAATGAACAGTAGGAAATCACTAGTTAATGGATTACATATTGCCATCTTAAAAATAATTGTTCAAGTCACAAAATTAAAGCTTGTAAAGTGGACATTCCAACAATGATACTGTGAACAGTTCTGTTCAATGATCCAATAAAACTCTGTGATATCATTTTCTATCTTATACACTTAAATATACATGCAGTTATATAGTTTAGAGCACTTTCTTTTCCTCTCTTTTGTACCATGACTATTACACATTTTGGGTTTCATTGCTCCCACGGTTCTTATTGCTTTTTTGGAAGAGAGTAAAACCAAATGAGACATAACAGAACAGAATCGGTCAAGTCAAAAGGGTGGACATAATAGATAATATAAAAACATAATACAAGGTGACCATCAATGGTTACCATAATGCCTCCCGCTATCTCTAATAGAATTGCCTATATCATTAGTTATAATACAATTGAACAAAACAGTAAAGACTAAAACCGACAAAACCAAAACATTGGAGACATTGTAGGTCTTCAAAAATAGATAAAAGTCAACCAGAATGGGCGTCATAATGAATCTCATTATCTTCACAGCTGATGCCTAAACTTTCACTTCCCCACTTGTTCCTAATGTAATCAGTTTTACCTGAACTGTTGATCTTATTGGCTAACTATAGTTATGTCCCACCTTATGCCCATCTGCCTTGTGAGCTCCCAGCCTTCCCCCACCTTGAACCCAAAATTTTACTCTATAAAAGTCCCTGGATAGAACAGAGTCCTTGGCAACCCACTCAAGACCCCTTCTGTCTCTCTCAGACTGAAGCTTTCTTTCTCTCAATAAATATATTCTACTCTTAACTTCCATTGTTCCTAAAATTCATTCTTTGGTTTTAGAGAACACGAACTAGTGGACACAGTAGGTTGGGTGTTTCATTCCCCTACATCATTGTCCTCTAGTAGATGTAGTGTTCTGTTTCAATATTTAGATCCTTGATCCATTTCGATTTTAGTTTAGTGTATGGCAATAAGCATGGGTCTATTTTCAGTCTTTGGCATGTGGAGAGCCAATTTTCCCAACAACATTTATTAAAGGGGCTATCTTTTTTCCAGGGAACATGTTTAGTCCCTTTGTCAAATATAAGGTTGGGTTTTTTTTCTTTTTAATGGAGAAAATGACTTCTTTTTTCCTCTCTTCTGTTATTCTTATTTCTGATTTCCTTTTTCTTTTTCTTTGCAATTTTTCAACAGGTGAGCCCTACCCCTGGGTGTATCCGCGCTCTCATGAAGATGCTGTACTGCCCGTACTGTCGGGGACTGCCCACTGTGAGACCCTGCAACAACTACTGCCTCAATGTCATGAAGGGCTGCTTGGCCAACCAGGCGGATCTGGACACCGAGTGGAACCTTTTTATAGGTAAGAGCCATTGAAACAGACCTGAGATTGAACGGATGAGTACAGCAAGAGTGTTGATGTTTAAATGGCAGGGAAGAAGGGAGGATAAGTCCAATACACTTCAAACAGCTTTCAGCAAATTATAAACACTGTTTAACATTTTTCTTCATTTTGTCCTATAAAATAGGAGAGACTTTCTTGTATATCACAAAAGATGGTTTTGTTAAAGATGCCCAAGCTAGCTACCCTCACTGGTTCTCTCCAATGGGAACAATAAAACTAATTGTTTTGAGGATTACTGAGTTCCTATAAGAAGGAATAAGTTAGAATACTATAAAAAAGTAGACAGCACTAATTTTAAGTTATATTACCTTACCATAGCCACAGATTTTAGAAAATAATTTCTTCTTTAAATTCTCAATGAAAATAGGTTAATATTTTCTGTGGAGCATGCAAATTTTTTGTTTCAGTCTGGCAAAAAAAACAGGCTTCAGACACACAAGCCTGAAACAGCCTTTCACTCTCAAGAAGATGGGAAGAAAAGAGATGGGGAGAATTTGGAGGAAACACTGTGAATCATGGTTCTGTTCTTAGGCTGCAAAATCATTTGGGAGGTTTCACTGTCCAAAGAAATTTCCCAAATAGCTATCCAAGGATAAAGGACAAATCTCATAGGCAAGCTTCTCCCAGGAAAATACATGGGCCTTGAAAGAGTAAATGTGTTTTCTTCCCCTCTGTTAAATGGCCTTCAAATAAAAGTACTTTCAATTGCATTTACTGCAATTACACAGTGACAAGCAAGAAAGGTAAAAATAGCAGTGGCATTTTTCAGTCTCAGAGGGACCGCATCATTTATGCCAACCGCTAAATAAGAATGCATGGGAAAGTCCATGACATGTAAGATTTGGGTAGGACAGGAAAAAGATCTAAATGTATTAGAATTCAGAAAACCCTAAACTTACTGTGCAGACATGTGCTAAGGTTACATGCACTTTACAGTGGGAGTATAACTCATTGGCTCACTCACTTTTGTATTTGTTTAAGATCAGAGAACATGGTTTTGACATGTATTTTAAAAAGAGATTGTTTTTAGTGTGGGTAGATTAAATTGGAAGGCGGCTAACAAAATCTCAGAACCATTTCAGAGAGAATAAATTGTAATGCTGTTCTTTCTCCCTTCAGTGGGAGGACAAAATCTGTTTGTAAAATCTCAGGTTGCATTATTTAAAAATTAAGGGAATTTTTTAAAAGTTCTTAAGGGACATGGTTCTTTGCTAGGGTTTTTGTTTGCTAAGATTTTGGGGGAAGATACAAATAAAATATAAGAATAAACTTGTTCTTATTTATTCTAGAAGATTTAGATTCAGGTTGGCAAACAGAAAGTACTCAAATACTGCTAATAAAAATGTAATATCTTCAAGAAGTCTAAAATGATTAGCATATTTTTAAACTAGATTAAGGCTCTGGAATCATATAGAACATTTATATGTTTTGGTTGAAATTGCCCTAATTTCTAACATTCTCTTTGTTCAGCCTGAAATTTATTGATAAAAATGGTTATATGGATCTTTTTAATTAGAGCTGGACATGACTAAGAATGAGACTAGGAGCTTTGTAATTTATAAAAACAGCAGTGACTTCTGACTGGCTTTCTTTCCCTCAGTGGTCATTGGTTATTTTAATTTAGAACAAATCCTTATACTTTCAGTCCATTGGTTTTCCTGAAAGCCAATTTGATATGAAATGGAATGGCTAAAAACCCAAAAATCACATGTTTTACAATCCTCTTCTGTCAACCTCCCCTGACATGTTGGTTGTACTTTAGCAAAAGGTGAAACTTGTTATTTGTCCTACATGAATGCATCTCAAGTCCTTTCTTCCTTCTTCTCTCACTTTTTTATTAGTCTTCATGGTCTCCAGGAAAATTCTTCCTGATGTCTTTCTCTGAGTTTTGCTATAGCATTGATAATAACCACCAACACAGACTTATAAAATATGTCCACACCGACACTTGATTGGGTGTGATGTAGTAATTCACACATTTATTTTCATTTATGCCAATTCATTTCCCAAACAAATATATCCAAGACGAGAGTTGGGTACTTTTCATGAATGCAGTGGCAGAAATTAATGTGCAAATTGTTGATCTTGCAGAAACTAACTGAAACAGCCCCTGTCTGGTTGGCACCTACAGACCTTCCCCCTCTGACTTCCGCGTTTCTTGGGGTCACCTGCACTTGCCATTTTTACCTGCTACCTAACATCTTAGTTTGCACACCTGGTGGATTATTTTCATTTGTGTTCATTTTATATTTGTCTAAATGTTATCACTGTCATGCAATCAACTACCAATAAAAACAATAGTCAAATTGGCAGCAAATTTTCAGGATCTTTACAATGCTGAGAACTAATCGAAAGCAATTAGTAACTCTATAATTCAGTTAGTGTCCTGATCATGTCAAAAGAAAGGCAGCTCATAAGCAAGGTAAAATGTGAGAAGTGTTCCACCTAGAACCCCCATGGCATTTCACTTGCTTCTGAAAATCTATAGGTTGGTTTTATTGTTTTCTTGTAATCTAGAGAAAATAAAACCAGCAGTCTGTTCGGGATGCATTTCTTAGTCTTCCTCCAGCAAGTTTTCTTTGAGCTTAGCACAAGGACGGTGCTCAAAAGATTTTTCTCAAGTAATTAGCGTAAGAAAAGTGAAGAGCTCTGTTGGGTTTGTTGTTAAATTGGATTTTTTTTTCTTTTTTCTTTTTTTTTTTTTTTTCTTTTTGGTACTGGGGGTTGAACTCATGACCTAGCTCTTGCCAGGCAGGCGCTTATGCCACTGAGCTAAATCACCAGCTGTTGTTGTTAAATTGATGCCAACTTTGAAGCATATGCTAGTAGATCCATTTTAAAGTACCTGAAAAAGCCTCAGTTCACCCCTGGCAGATGCCTGCACATGCCCACTGGGAGCACATGGGATTACACAGAGCCAAACACAGCCCACACTCCTCTTGCAGAGCAGTGCAAATGAAGGGGTGAACCCTGAGCACGCCAAGCTAGTCACCCCAGAAAGACAGGAGAGATTTTGTCCTATTTTCACTACTAGAAACTGTGTAGTGAGAGAAAAACCTAATTTGAGATACTGAGAGTCTGGGCTAAGACACTTACCCCAGATGTTTCTGTGTATTCATGTACAATTTTTCCCACCCACGCTTTTGAACGTTGCCTAAAATGAAAAATGGTTTTCTTGAAAAATATTTACATTAAATTAAGGTTTCCTAGAGGCAAACAGTGGGCAGAACTCATTTCAGTAATACTCTGTGGTTATTTTGGGTGTTTGCATCAATGCCAACGCTCCACAGATAAGGATTGCATTAGTGACAAGAGCCCGTGTTGCAGATTACATCTTGCTCAGGAACACAAAAGTCAAGGTTGAAATTATGCTTCTGTGGCTGGAATAAATCTTCCTATACTTTAAAGTCAGGGATATATGGACGGCCTCCTCCAAACATCTGGTACCATCTGAGATTTTATAAATTATGAGAACCAGAAAGAGATTTTAAAGAGAGCTTGCGAGTATAGAAAGACAAAGGATGGTAAGACAAGAGGCAAGAATTCTATATCTTTATTTTTTATCACTAATTAGGTGTAGACTTCCTCTGGCAGCAAATATAAGCCTAAAACCTTAAGATGTTTATGTCTCAACAATGGCATGTTTTCAAGCATTCCTGTTTAATAAGGCACTAATAATCTTAGCATATTAATCCAACTGACTCTACTGAGTAATCTACACATACATTCTGCCCTCAGGGAATTTTTTAATATAGTTAAATAAGTACAATGAACTCTGATAAAGTGTTAGGATAATAGAGGCCCAGGATGATCTATATCTCCTCAGCAAGAGGATTTAACCTGGTGTAGGGTTAAAAATTAGCCCTGTATTAGAAAATATAGAATGAAATACTAAATGTGATTGTATCAAATTAGCATTGTTAAACATAAACTGTGTTGAATATTGACAGCACATATATTAGCTATAACATACACCCCTTGGGATTTCCAAGGCCTGTGACAATTTTAATACACCTAGAATGATCTATCAGTGGTTTTTTAAATGTTCACCTGTTTTTTTTTTCTTCTTTCAAACATTTTCTATAATAAACTCTGACTACCGTCACCCCCGTTGCTACTGATTGGAAGTAAAAGATTTGGAGAATTCCAGTAGCTTCATCAAGAAGAGTTTGAGTTCCCTGATTAATGAATGTGCTCCAGTGGAGGGAAAAACTAGCAAGGAAATCTGCATTTTCATGTAGACCTTGAACATTCAAAGAGGAGACACACTATGGGCATCGTATTTTTCTGGGCTTTCTTTTTTTCAAAGCAACCAATTGTTTCACTTCAAGAACTCAAGCATACACAGTGTATTAGATATTGTTTTTCCCTTATTACTTTGTTATAAAACGTTTTTCATAAAAACGCTGACAGCTATAGATGGAGCATCCCTAATCCAGAACTCTGAAATCTGAAATGCTTCAGAATCTGAAATGTTCTGAGTGTTGACACATTCCACAGGTAGAAAATTTCATAGCTGACCTCACAGGAGGATCACAGCCACAACACAGAAACATAGCACAGTTTATTCAGCATCCCCTGGAGAAAAAAGGGCCTTTCTCACCCCTTCAGCTGCCATAAACAAGCTTTTTCATGCACACAGTTATTAAAAATATTTTAAAATAAAGAGAGTCCTAAGGCAGAAAACTGGCAAGAGCAAGCATATCAAACATGAAACCCAGTGTGGGCTCTTCACCTACCACAGGCCAAGAGACCCTGCAGGGCACACCGTCCATTCATTCCTTGATTTGTTCATTCATCCAGCACCTGGTGGAACTTGCTTTGGTTTAAAATGGCACTAACACAGAGGATAGAGAAGGTCTCTCCTTTGTGAGAACAAAATCCAATTTGCTTTGAATGGAAGAAATGGCAATAACTAGACCGAAAAATAGAAAGCTGTAGGAAAGAGGCTGTTCTAT